TGTGTGTGTGTGTGTGTGTGTGTGTGTGTGTGTGTGTGTGTGTGTGTTCTTCACGTATGTGCCATAGAGAATCTAGCCTTATTTATTAATTTTGTTGCAACAAAAGTCGTTGCATGATTCAGTTCTCTGTTTCAGTCATATGGTAGAAACATGCAGTTAAATTATCAAAATGTATTTTGGCTGACAAGGTTGTGTTAAAACTTATTTGAAGGGAGTCTGTGCACAATGCGTTTAAAACACTACCATGTGTTGGTCTAATACAGTCAGTGTATACACAGTGTATCGTGTGGCCTCCAACTGAGTCTTTGTGCATCTGTTTTTCACTCTCTTACAGTCTCCTGCCGTGAAGGAGGTGCTGAAGGATCAAGATGGCAGAAAAGGCCTGATTGCAGCCATCTGTGCAGGTACAGCTTGTGAAAACAAAGTAGCCATAATTATACACAACCATCCTTGTTATACATCCTCTAATAGATTTGTCTGTATCGGGTTTAAATATGATGCAACCTCAAAATTGACAACCGTGTTTTATTTCTTTATGGAATTTATGGAATTTCACACATGGCATGGAAAGGGTTTATCAAATCACATGCACATTACAGGAAAGTGACTCAGGGCTTAGACTGCATATTCAAATATTATTTGAGGGTATCATGTACAAACCGGATTCCAAAAAAGTTGGGACACTAAACAAATTGTGAATAAAAACTGAATGCAATGATGTGCAGGTGCCAACATCTAATATTATATTCAGAATAAAACTCAAATCACAGATCAAAAGTTTAAACTGAGAGAATGTATCATTTTAATGGAAAAATATGTTGTTTCCAAATTTCATGGCGTCAACAAATCCCCAAAAAGTTGGGACAAGTCCATTTTTACCACTGTGTGGCATCACCCCTTCTTCAGACAACACTCATCAGACGTCTGGGGAGTTTCTCAAGTTTAGAAATAGGAATGCTCTCCCATTCATGTCTAATACAGGCCTCTAACTGTTCAATCATCTTGGGCCTTCTTTGTCGCACCTTCCTCTTTATGATGCGCCAAATGTTCTCTATAGGTGAAAGATGTGGACTGCAGGCTGGCCATTTCAGTACCCGGATCCTTCTCCTACGTAGCCATGATGTTGTGATTGCTGCAGAATGTGGTCTGGCATTATGGTGTTGAAAAATGCAGGGTCTTCCCTGAAAGAGATGACGTCTAGATGGGAGCATATGTTGTTCTAGAACCTGAACATAGTTCTCTGCATTAATGGTGCCTTTCCAGACATGCAAGCTGCCCATGCCACAAGTGCTCATGCAACCCCATACCATCAGTGATGCAGGCTTCTGAACGGAGCGTTGATAACAACTTGGGCTATCCTTGGCCTCTCTGGTCCGGATGACATGGCGTCGCAGTGTTCCATAAAGAACTTCAAATCGTGACTCATCTGACCACAGAACAGTCTTCCATTTTGCCACACTCCATTTTAAATGACCCCTGGCCCAGTGCAAACGTCTGAGCTTGTGGAGCTTGCTTAGAAATGGCTTCCTCTTTGCACTGTAGAGTTTCAGCTGGCAACGGCGGTTGGCACAGTGGATTGTGTTCACTGACAATGGTTTCTGGAAGTATTCCTGAGCCCATTCTGTTATTTCCTTGACAGTGGCATTCCTGTTTGAGGTGCAGTGACGTTTAAGGGCCCGGAGATCACGAGCATCCAGTAGAGTTTTATGGCCTTGACCCTTTCGCACAGCGATTGTTCCAGATTCTCTGAATCTTTTGATGATGTTATGCACGGTTGATGATGATAACTTAAGTCTTTGCTATTTTACACTGGGTAACACCATTCTGGTATTGCTGCACTATCTTTCTGCGCAACAATGGTGGAATTGGTGATCCTCTTACCATCTTGGCTTCTGAGAGACACTGACACTCAGAGAAGCTCTTTTTATACCCAATCATGTTGTCAATTGACCTAATTAGTGTTAATTGGTCTTTCAGCTGTTCGTTTTATGCTCAATTTCCTTTTTCCAGCCACTTATTGCTACTTGTCCCAACTTTTTGGGATTTGTTGACACTGTGAAATTTTGAATCAACATATTTTTCCTTTTAAAATGTTACATTTACTCAGATTAAACTTTTGATCTGTCATCTGTTATATTACGAAAAAAAAATTGTCATTTGCCATCTCCACATCATTGCATTCAGTTTTTATTCACAATTTGTTTAGTGTCCCAACTTTTTTGGAATCCGGTTTGTACAAGGTGGAAGAACGATTTAGGAATTACAACTTCATTATGTAAAACTTTTTTTTTTTTTTTTTTATTTTTTTTTTTTTATTAGAGCTTTGAATGTATTTAGGTTAAAAAAAATGCTATTTCATGAACAGGTGAGGGCTATTTACTGTTGACGATTACATTTGATGGTTGTTGCTGTTAGTCCTTAACAGGTCTGTAAAACTAGTCCTAACAGCTTATTTTCTTAAGCACTAAAACTGCTGAATCACCAGTAGAATTTAACTGTGTAAGAGAAACTGATTTGTTTCAATGTTTGTGACCCTTTCTGGCAAAGGCTGCAGTGCAAAACAAGTGGTTGAGGTTTGTGTAAAAAAAAAATAATTAATAAATAAATAAATAATGAGACCCCTTCTACTGACCTTTGTAATTACAACAGAAAATGTAATTAGTAAATAAAAATATTAGGAAAAAAAAAATAGAAAATTAGGGGGAAAAAAACGACGACAACCCAATGGTACCGGTAAATACAATTCCGATCTTGAAGAATTAGTCCATGCATTCGTTATAACTGATGAACTACTCTAACTCGCTTTATGTTGGGATCAGTCAAGCTTCCCTTTCACGTCTCCAGCTCGTCCAGAATGCTGCAGCCCGTCTACTAACAGGAACTTGTAGGTTTGAGCACATTTCACCTGTTCTGTCCTCCCTTCACTGGCTCCCTGTGCTGTCAGAATAGAATTTTAAAGTTCTCCTGCTGACATTTAAGTGCATTAATATAATGCACCCTCACACCTCCGACCTTCTTCATCTTTATGCTCCTTCTCGGGATTTGAGATCATCGGACCAGCTGCTTTTGGTTATACCAAAAACCAAGCTGAAGCTCAGAGGAGATTAGGACCCATCAACATTTGACAGGCCACTCCAGTCTGTTTTTAAGCACTTTGGGAACAGCTTCTGTGTTAAATGTGCTATATAAATAAATCTGACTTGACTTGAATAGCACATATTCTTTGTAATCTACCTTTTTTAAATTGAAGTTTTCTAACAGATATGTTGTCAGAAATAATTATTTGTCTTATAACCTTTTATAATCCATCCATATAATCTTTACCTGCTTCTTCCTTTCCGGGTCACGGGGGTCACTGGTGCCCATATCGATCAGTCACTCCCTGGTCGGCTCACAAGTCCATCATAAGGCCACAACCCTTATATTTTTTTTTAATTGACCGTTTTGGTCTTCTGGCTGTCCTTTCATTTAATTTCCTTTATTTATTACAGCTTAGTCCCACTGAAACACTATTGTCTCATTTGCAAGAGAGACCTGTTATAGAAAAATTAAGAAATGCAATCAATACAATCAATAAAATCAATTCAACTCTAAGTATAAAATATACATATCGATGACTATATAGATTACCTAAAATATACTGACAAATCAGCCCTGGAGTTAAAGTGCATGGCAGTGGATTTAAGGACTTCATGAATATTTTAGGGTCTAGATGTCTTCTGAAATGTGTTTAGCACACACCTTTGCCTCATTTTGGTAAATATGCATTGTGCCCAAATGACACACTTGTAAAGTTTATTTGTAATACTCCAATGTAATTTTAAGTGAAATGTGAATTTGTTTGTTCTTTTAAAGCACACCCAATTCATTTGACAGCTTTTTTTCTTACGTAGAGAAAGGACAAAGAAAAGACATTTTGAATTGGGACATGAGGCCAATACAGCAAATTAGGTTGAAATGTGTCCTAGAAATGACTGAAATTCTCACAGGAATATACTCTTTAATGGAATCAGCAAGGGAGGCATTTACAAAACCTATTATTCTGTCATAACATTAAAGTTATTATAAACTAAAATCGTGATTGGAAAGAACATAATTCTCTTTACATATTCTTATTGCTCGATAATAAAATCATATTCCTCACTGTTGGACCGTTTTATCTCCCAGGCTGATCTCCAGTGGGTGCGGACTTGGAGTAGCTTGGTTTTAACCAGCAGTCTGTTGTCCTGCCAGGGAATAGTGCATTCTTGAAACTGCACAGGAATGCAGCCAAACGAGCGTGATCAATACCTCTCTGTATATTAGCAGTTTTTGGATGCACTCACAGCAGTGCTAGGACATTATCAAAGTTAATGCAGTGGCAGTCTGTGTCCTCAGCCTCTCTCTCTCTCTTTTTTCTCTCCTCCCTTTTCAAAGTGCTGCACACACTTTGGAGAGAGACTGAAATTGTATACTGTGCAAGTGTATTCTTGGAAACAACCGTAAGGTTGAGGACACCTTTTAGGACACAAGTATTATTAGATATTTTGTACATGTGCCACTCGGTTTTTATTTACGCAAATCTACTGTATTTGATGGAATTGTACGGTTTTAAGGTTTCTTTGTGCTGAACTTTAAGGTGGGGCATTCTAATATTTTCTTTTTTGTTGACAACAACATAAGTATGAAAACTAGAAATTGCGCAAGCAAAATAAGTTTGTCTTACTTAATATAACAGCTAAAATAAAAAGAAATTAAAACCTTAAACAACTTTGCCCTTTCTCAGGTCCCACTGCTCTTTTGGCACATGGAATAGGCTATGGCAGCACAGTCACTACACATCCTGCCATGAAGGAGATGATGATGGTTGACGGTAAAAAAATATATATATTTTTGTACCATCAATGGTTTTAAATCTGCTTAAGGAGTAGTACATCAGTAAGAATTGTAACTACTTGTGACACGCAGCAGATGGTGCTGTTCAAGCATTTAGTTTGCCTGTGGAGAATCATTCCAGTGTAGCTGGATAGCACAGCATTTGGAGGTAAAGCAGGAATTTGACAGAACATGCTAGAACCAAGTCTGTTCAGATGATCCCAGTTTGTGTTTATACTGCACGTGCTTCAAGTACTCTGACTCCTGTAGTTTCTTTTGCTCTTTCTTTTTTTAGACCACTATAAATATTCAGAGGCCCGAGTGCAGAAGGATGGCCATTACATCACCAGCCGTGGGCCAGGAACCAGCTTTGAGTTCGCCCTGACGATTGTAGAGGAACTCATGGGGGCTGAGGTTGCAGCTCAAGTCAAGGCTCCTCTTATTATGAAAGACTGATGGTTCACTTGTAATCCTGTAAGCTGCACTGCCCAGTATAACGCTCTGGAAAAACTGAGACAGCTGGTATAGATTGGCTTTAGCTGAAAGGAATGGTAACAAATTATTTTTCTATCAGACACGAGTCTTGATTTTTATTTTATTTTTTTTCATTACACTGGTTACAAACCATCTCAAAAGTCACTTTAACCATGAAAATGTGGTGTGGAAATTTATTAAAGAGGCTTTAGTTCATGAACCACCGCCTCCTTTTTTTTTTTTTTCTCTCCCATCGTCAGTGACACTATGACACCTTCTACTGTACTTGTCTAAGATTGCCAGTTTTCTGAATTCTAATAAAAGGAATATGGACTGGACAGGTTGGAGCAGGCTGTTGGTACAATTTATTTTTTTTTAAACCTTCATTTTACCAGGAAGAAATTCATTGAGATAATTAATCTCTTTTACAAGGCTGTTCTGGGCAAAAATACTGAGCTGTGAGATGCTGTTTCTGCTAACTGGGAAATGGAAATTGAACATTTACCAAACACAATGTTACAGTAAATTAACAGGAATTAGTGTCAAGCTTAGCTGCTTTTAGCTACCCTTTTGCTGCTTTTTTGCTAGCTAGCTTTTAGCTTCTGACTAATTAAAAGCTAATAGTAGCTAGTGTTTCCTTTAACATAGACTTCTCCATTAAGATAAGAACTGTATTGATCCTGTGGAAAATTGTTGTGCCAACATGGCACCCCAGACCATCACTGACTGTGGGTGCTTCACACTGGACTTCTGGCATTTTGGCATTTCCTTCTCCCCAGTCTTCCTCCAGACTCTGGCACCTTGATTTCCGAATGACATGCAAAATTTGCTTTCATCTGAAAAAAGTACTTTGGACCACTGAGCAACAGTCCAGTGCTGCTTCTCTGTAGCCCAGGTCAGGTGCTTCTGCCGCTGTTTCTGGTTCAAAAGTGGCTTGACCTGGGGAATGTGTCACCTGTAGCCAATTTCCTGCACACGCCTGTGCACGGTGGCTCTGGATGTTTCTACTCCAGACTCGGTCCACTGCTTCCGCAGGTCCCCCAAGGTCTGGAATCGGCCCTTCTCCACAATCCTCCTCAGGGTCCGGTCACCTCTTCTCGTTGTGCAGCGTTTTCTGTCACACTTTTCCCTTCCCACAGACTTCCCACTGAGGTGCCTTGATACAGCACTCTGGGAACAGCTTATTCGTTCAGCAATTTCTTTCTGTGTCTTACCCTCTTGCTTGAGGGTGTCAATGATGGCCTTCTGGACAGCAGTCAGGTCAGCAGTCTTACCCACGATTGCGGTTTTGAGTAATGAACAAGGCTGGGAGTTTTTAAAAGCCTCAGGAATCTTTTGCAGGTGTTTAGAGTTACGTCGTTGATTCAGATGGTTAGGTTAATAGCTTGTTTAGAGAACCTTTTCATGATATGCTAATTTTTTGGGACAGGCATTTTGGGTTTTCATGAGCTGTATGCCATAATCATCAGTATTAAAACAATTAAAGACCTGAAATATTTCAGTTGGTGTGCAATGAATCTGAAATATATGAAAGTTTCATTTTTATCATTACATTATGGAAAATAATGACCTTTATCACAATATGCTAATTTTTTAAGAAGGACCTGTACAGTGTGACACAGCTGCAGGGGAACGAACAAACAAATGGACGAGTCAGTAACAGGATTCATGTTCCCTCAATTACGTTTCTAATCTATGAACAGCATTTGATTTTTGTTGGTTATCCAGAATAAAAAGGAGATCCAAGTAAAGTCTGCTTTTTGTAACAACTATTATGAAAAATATCCTGATGCTCAATAATGCAGGTAGATACATCAGCAACTGGACAGTAAAAAAAATATATTCAACATTTTCTGCAGCTGCAAACAGCTGTTTTTAACACAGGACATTATGGCAGAGGAACTTTTAGGCAGCTTTAATTGAGATTAAATATGGTGATTAAGTCCATGAGCAGTTTTAAGAAAACACTAAGCTATTTAGTATAAAGAAGGCACAAGTGATGCCTTGGTGCTAAGCTGACACAAGATGAATGTTGCTGGTGCTAAAAGTATTTCCTTTTTTTTTTGTTTGTTTGTTCGTTCCAGAATAACAAATATTTTGCTTGTTAAAAGGGTTAGTTATGTTGTGTAAATTAAAATATACAAAGCTCTCAAGACTCTTTTTATATTCCAGGTTGCAAGACAACAAAACGTTGGTTACATACTGTAACCCTAGATTCTATGAGTATAGGCGTAGCCCTTTAAGGCTGTCGCTGATGGGTTTATCCCGATATGCGAAGCATTGCACTGAAAAATTTAGTCCACGCCCACCTGCTTTGTGGGCCCCACCCGGTTCGTATAAATTACGTTAAGAGCGGGAAATCGGCTCCCAAAAAAGCTTTTTTTCAGCCATTTAGGAGCCAGTGAGGCCCGACGCTTAACGATATCGCTCTTGATTTAAAAGAGCTTGTGATGTTTTTAGGCATAAAAGCTGGGTTTGGTCTTAAATCAGCTGAGCTGCCGTCAGCCTGAATTCTGAGACATGACGGAGCAACAGAGAAGGCAGATGAATCACTCACTCTCTTAGCGGATGTTAAAACCAACAGCAGGGCTGTTTAAAGAGACAAGAATTTTAGTGGAACCTGATCCAGAGGCTCAAATGGTGCTTTGATCAGGACCTGCAGGACCAGCGTTAAATCCCACTGTGGAACAAGTGGGTGTGAAACAGGCCTGCATCTCTGTACACCTTTTAGAAAACGCTTCATCAGCGGATGATTAAAAACTGTTCTGTCTCCGAACCCTTCGTGGCAGGAAGAGATGGCTGCAGCGTACGTTTTAATCGTGCTGGACGCCAAATTCCTGTCCATCAGCTGCTGCAGAAAAGACAGCATGCCACCTAATGGACATGAGGTGGCCTCTACACCCTTCTCTCTACACCAGCGCTGAAAAGCTGTCCGCTTTGATGTGTATTGCGCTGTGGTAGATGCAGCACGTGAATCCTGAATTGTGCGCACTACATCCTGTGGGAGACCCATCCTCTCTAAGCGGATCCGTTCAGCGGCCAGACCCACAGGTGCTGGCCTATTTCTGGGTAACTCCTGGTCGCTCCTCCTGCCTGGAGGAGAGCGTCCTCCCTCCACGGCAGTTTCCACGGGCGCCCCACCAGCAGGCGTTGCAGGACTGGGAACCATGGTGCGCTCACGCGTTCGGGGGC